CCCCGTTTTCGGACTGCGTCCAAACGGGGACTAATAATATGAGGTTATGAAGGCAGTATGATAACCATATTAAAATAAATGCAATCCTGTACTGCCAGAGTGCATACTTTCTGGTATTCTCATGACAACCTTAATATTAAACATAAATTCTTGCTTGTAAGCCGTAATTTAGTGAGATATAACATCTAGAAATGCTAGCGATAAGTACTCGGGACTGCGCAGTCAGTTCAGTGACTCAATTCTATTTCAGTTACAAGCTATTAAAATTATTGCTGCCTCTAATCTAAACAAAGGAAAGTGTTTGAAAGTATATTTACTTGATTATGTCAGTCAACCTCTCTCCAAGTACACGGGTACCATGGTTGTTAGTGGACGTCTTCAATTTCTCTATTTGTTGACACCATTCATTAAATGGCAACAAATGCATTGTGTAACCATGCGCTTTCATCCATTCAAACAGCCATCTATAGTAGAACAATGAAGTTGAAAACTATTACTCTTCAACTCTCAGTAATTTAAATAGAAACTTATATAATCATTTTTAACCCTTGTCATACATTGCATCATAGAAAACTTGTGCAACTTTGAAAAGTTTTCAGTCTATTCAAGCATCTCGGAAAACGTGTGCAACTTTGGGACATTTTCAAACTATCCATATCTCTTTCACCAGATCTGTGCTTGGATAGCAAACAATAAAAGAAACATATTTACACAATTACACAGAAATTACTTTACTTTACCATTAATTCCCCAGCACCAGAAATAAATATCACATAATATCCTTAAATATCCCAAAAGCTTATATGAAGTCTCAAAACTGTTGTTATATCAAGACCATATTTGCAGTACCGGTTATTGTAACATAATTTTAATATTTGCGTTATGGATCACACTTTCAATATGATACTGATAAATACTCAGCTTTGTGTGCCCATTTTGGGTTTTTAACTTTGAGTCAGTGTCGTTTATTCTTAGATATGTTATTTTTATACAAATGTGTTAACAGCTTATAGGACTCATCTAGTATTTTATCAGTGTTAAATTTTTATGTCCCAAATCATAGTTTACGTTTTATCCCTCTGTTTTGTCTACCGCGTTGTCGTATTGATATATTTAAATATTCTCCACTTGTGAGATGCATGAACAATATCAATAAGTTATTTGAGCCATTTTAAATCTAAGGTATATCAGTTAATTCTTGAAAGCTAAATTCAGATATTTTAAATGTTTATGTATTTTATCGTATATTTTTGTATGTTATTTATTGTATTTTGATGTATGTGTGAGTGAGGAGCCTGTAAATGGGACTTGTGCCCGTAATTCTTTTCAAATAAATGAATAAATTTAGGAAAAGGGGTATCTCAGAGAAAACCTAACTTACATCGACTTGAATGGCTTTGGATTGACTAA